CAGTTTATTCTAATTATATTATGATAGCAGTACACCATTCTTGTTCATGAAGAAATTCAAGCAGCATTTAAAATGAAGAACTCTTATTCTTTGTGCTTCCTTGCTTGCACTGCACGTGTAGAAGCTGCAGTTATATGTAATGCATTGTTGTGCTTCTACATTTTTTTTCGACTTTTGTTTTCTTTTTTTTTATCACTCTTTACATTTCTCTAACGACAGGAGCATTTCCGACAAGTGCATTTTTTATGTGAACATGAAGCATGTCTCGCAAAGAAATTTGTTGTCTTTCAATCTGAAGTTGAGATGAAGGTGCTTACATACTGAATGTTCTATTTTGAATATAAATTTCTACTTTAGGATGCACATATGATTTATAAGACGTGGTATTCATTATTTATTTTTATATTTATTGGCAGAGGCATAATACTATCGAACATAGTGGCTTGTCTCGCTCCAAAAGGAATGCTGCTCTTCAGGTAATTAAGTGTTTTTGTCTTTTTAGCATATTTGTTTGTTGCTCTGATTGTTCTCTTGGAAATGGATTTCATGGGCTCTTATTTGCTAGTTCTATATTTTAGATTGCTTGTAATCTGTCTGTGGATAACCATGATCTTTATGCAGATACCTGTTAGCTTCAGATACCGAGGTAGTGCTGAAGAACATCAACAACGAGGAAGGCGGCGTGGTTTTCATCTGGACCCAAGTCAGTTAACCATCCAAGGTAGTTCAGAGATGGCAGCTGCGGATGGGAGTTTGCACGAGTCATCTTCTGTTAGTGGTAGAATACATAGTGACATTGGAGAAACTAATCAATCTGATATGATCACAAGTACCATGGAATCGCTAGCTGTCAGTTCACACCCTGAAGAACTATCTTCAATGTCGGATGCAAACAACACCCAGAGTTTTGGAAGTGCTCCTGCTGTAGAAGAAATTTCTTTTCCTCCCCTCTCTAATTTTGTGCCGCCTGAGCCAACTTCCAGGTATGCTCAGGCTCTTAATCAAGGGATCTCTGCCCGACTTGTTGAAGCATCATTTCCTCCTCTTCCAGGAGCGAAAGACAGCATTAAACCAATGATAGCACCTGTGGCAGAGGGATTAGCTGCAAATACTATTGCAGCTCGTCTTAAGCTACATAGCAAAGTTGTGCACTCTGCTCGACCGAAAGCTTCACAAGATCATGAACATGGTTACCCCATTTCAGGAAGTTCTTTGGAGATGAGGCCACAGACACGAAGTCAAAGTCCTGTAACATCAAATTCAAATTTTATAACTGGGATTACAGCAAACCAGGTATTTCCACCAGTAAGTTCTGCTAGTCCCCAGGTTCCAATATTAAGAGGAAATGGATTTGCAACCTCTATTCCTATCAGCTCTGTATGGAATTCACATAGCTTGAATAGAGCAAGGCTTTCTGCATCAGCTCCTAACCCAAGCATCAGTTGTCCTCCAAATAATCCTCCATCCAGTATCATTTCTTCTGTCAATTTAAACGGGGAATTGTCCTCTAGCAATGAATCCTTGCAACATGTGCAGAATGTTCAGATAGCAAACAAGTCTTTGGTAGAAAGTATTCGTTCAGGCCTGGGAATGGATGAGGAAAAATATGCTGCATTTAAAATCATTTCTACTGAATATCGCCAGGACCGTATAGATTCTTGGGAATATCTCTCTTATGTTGAGCAGTTTGGCCTTTCACATCTTGTTCTTGATTTGGCTCGGCTCTGTCCTGATTCTAAGAAGCAACAGGAACTGATTGACGCTTACAATGCAAATGTATGCCATATTGGTGTGCTAGAAAACAACAGCGGTAGGACGGCTGGAACACATAAGGTTGAGAAGAGGCGAAAGGGAAAGGGCAAAGCTGTTGAAACCGCTCCTAAAGATTCATTGGCTGATAACAATTTAGACAATGGTAGAGAGCTGCAGACAAGTGATCATTCTTTCAAGGAAATGGAGGTCTTGTCGAAAGATGGCTATTACACTGCAAAAGTCCAACTTTCCTCAACCAGAGAGCATAACACCACAGGCTCTATGATTGTAGATGATTCAAGCAGCCAAAGAAAAACTATTACCGATAACTCAGGTGGTGAATTTGGCAGGAGAAATCGCAAGTTAAAGTTTCATATATTACCTTTAGACGAGGGTAATGCCGATGGGAACCCTAGAAGAATCAGTGGGGAACACAGCACAGATGACTCTAATAGGGTACCTGTCCTAGGGGTTTGGCATAATGGTGGCGGACATAGGCTTGTTTCTCAGAGCTATGCCTCCAAATGAGATACCCTTTTAGCATTATGGGCTGTGTAGTAATTTTGGTATGTGAGTCTGCTCAAGTCACAATTTGCCCAAGTTGTGCGTGCAGAAGGGTGCAGAAAACTTGAGTGAATTAGTTGTGGAGTTTTTTGAGACTTTGGATCTGTTATTGTAGTCCAGAAATCGCAAGTGGTAATATATGGTTTGTCCATTTTTCAACCTTTCACATTTTTAGCTTTCCAATTTTTTGGTTAAAGATTACTACAAAGTACAAGGCATGCACAATGTGGATCACCGTTCTCTTTAAAGGATCTTTTGTTCATTTTTTTCGCTTAAAATATGCGCGCATGTTAGAATTTTTTGCTGTCAGCGAGCTTGGTGGAAAATCATCTTTCCAGCAAGGTTCTCTTTTTATGGGAATGTTGAGCAGAAGTTCTGAATATCACTTTGAGCCTACGTTTCCCCAAAAGAATAAAGTTCTCAAATATTGGAAAAAATCATGCGGCCATGTTAGTAAACTTTCCCATCCTAGCCATCAATGCCAGGCTTTCCTATATTATTGTTGCTAGCCTTTGATCTAAAGTTTAGTAACACTGGTTGAGGCAATATCGTTCTCGGCTCCTGCCAAGCTGTAGTCTGTGTTCGAAGAGAGAACTTTATTATAAGCACCATTTTGGGAGCCTATTGGTGGAATTGAGTCATGGTGATTTATGAGTTCTTTTGAGCTCAACTCATAAATGGTACAAAAGTTGAGATAACAAGTCAAGGA